GTCTTCTGCTGTTGCCCCACATCATACAACATGGTGATACCTCTCAGGCTTCCCTCAGCTGGCGGTGCAAAAAATCTTCAAGAGTAGATTTCCCGGGACATAAAAACTGAAATAAGTAAGTGGATTCTAGGAAAGCTATGAAGTCATTATGAAATAATTCCACAGTGTGAGAACTAGTTTGCACCCTCCCATTTTTGCTTCCTCACCTCACAAGCAACATACAGATATCATAGTATCAAATGAACTATTTTATGCTTAGTCCAAGCCCAGGGAGCCATATTCCCATCTTATAAGCAGATACGGTTGACTGTGAATGATGGATGCTGCAGCCCAACACATCCAGAAGCCATCACACTAGGTCTCTAACATCCCAACCACCTTGATTTATTTCATTATTCGTTGAAATTTGAACGGTTTCAGTTGTGGGTGCCCATTGACTTTAGCCACCTTACATCTGAGAACCCCCTTTAGATGGGTCCCATATTCATGGTGTAGTGCTTAGTGCTTAGTGATTGGGCTAAAGAGGAGGCAGCTTCCCGTCGACAACTGCAGCAGCCTGCCAGGTAGCCTAGCTTGCTAGCTTTGACATTTTAGAAAAAGAGATCAACCTGAAATTCAAATTCACTGAAGGTCAATACGATCCATTTTCGTGGATAGTCTTCCTCTCCCTACTTAACCTAAGCTACCGAGGATTGAAGGTGCAAGGAAGAGAGGGCATTTAAGGCACAGGCAACTGTGATGAGCTAGGATGAGGTCATGCATGCTTTCTTTTACATCACTTGTGCGGTGATGTCTCAACATGCATGATGTCTTTATTATGGCCATAATACCAGCAGCAAAGAGACATACCTTGATAGGAGAATACCACTTCTGTGGTGAGGAGGACCTGCGCATGCTGTTTCCAAGATTCCTTGGCTCTGGGAACTCATACTCTTGTTCTGGCATCTTGACTCGCGCATTCTTGGCCTTCTCCAGCTTTGCCCCTTCTTCGGTTGATCCCTTTTCTCCCCAGCGAACCTGCAAAAAAAACATTCCCACCTGCTTGACCTCAAGCTCTTCTCCGATGGCTCCAGCCCAGAGGTGTCTAGAGGAGAGGTGGAGGAGGGGTCGCCCCACATGGATTTTGCCTCAGAGACCCTTTGATCTCTGCGAGTTCAGAAATGGAATGATCACATCTGGAGGCTTCGGAGCAACATGTTAGCAAAAAACCTTGAGTCCACCACCCTAAAGCTTGGAGATGATCCCTAGAACCCTTCCAAATGTCATAGTGAATTGCAATATTTTCGTTATTATTACATAATAATTTATTTAACTGATTAGATTTCCTTTGCTTTAAATTCAGTGAAAACAAACAGGTTTTGATTTATCCCTGTCACAGCATTCAAAGGCCAAGGGGGAACCTTGGCCTAAAAGTGTTGTACGACCTTATTTTGCACCCCAAGCAAAGATCCATTACACTGTATGAGACCAAACCCTGCATTGTTTCTTTCCCAAAATGTAGGGATGCCTTCCATCATCCAAATGGCAACTATACTGGGGGAAAGAAAAGTTACGGTACATTTTTCCTCTCTGGCCTTTCCTTGGAGCCCAAACATTCCTTGTTCCCGTGTTTGCAGGAATGAGCTCCGGCAGGCAGGGGCGTGTATGGGGAAGGTCCAACAAGCCAAGATGGCAACCGCAACTGCGTGGCCAAAGCCCTGCCTGCAGAAAGGGGCGGGGCTTCAATGATGCAGTTGCTTCCACCACCTTGACTTTTCTGCCCTTGCGGAGGCACCAACTCTTGGGGCCAATGCAGCATCGTAATCCTTGGCGGAGGAGTTTTTGGAGCAGGGAGCAGAGCTTGTGGTGGTGAAGGGGTAAAACAAATACCTGAGACCAAGACCTCCAAACTACCAGGGCCCCTGAACTCCACTAAGCCTCCTTAATAGCCGGCTTATGAATTACTTTAAATCAGCACTTGTATTTTTCAATGGGAACTAGGAAGTAACTAACCACAAAAACTGACCCATGCCAACCTCCACTTTATTAACTGTGTATTCTCACTATAATCAGAAAATCTAACTCATGTGATAAAAAACAAGACGATTGGCATTTGACATCATTACTGATCAGCATTTATTCTACTCCTATATAAAGGTTGCTTGAACCCTCCTTTAAGGGGCTGAACCCTTGTATTCTGTCTGACCATGTGGTCTCCATGCATGCATTGGGCCACGGGGAATTTCCCCTTCAGTGGCAACCAGAAACGGGGACTATCCTACCTCCATTCGCTTAATGCCTCCAACGCCACGCCCACCGTAATAGGAAGCATCTACCGTTGGCCACTTCTTCTTGGGAACCCCATCATCATCTTCCTCCTAAAAAGAGAGAAAACATTGAACTACTAAAGCTTTCAATCCTTGGATAGAAAGAAGTTGTTGTCAAGAGCTCCTCTAAATTTAAAAAATCTTCTGGCCTATCATTGTTTACTTGAGCCATTCACTTAATGGTTACCAGACAAAGTTAGACATTTTTTGGGAGTTCATGTCAACTTTTCCTAGGAAATAGCTCTTCCTGGGTTTTATTTATCCTCTGAACCAAAGTGTGTTTGCTTCTCCCATCTGTTTCCTTAATGAGAGCCCATATCAAAAGATCTCCCAGTGAATTAGCAGAGCATAATATCCAGACACTTGAACTGGAAATACATATCTACATCTAGGCTTGTACAGTGATTCTTAAAGCAGACTTATGGAAGCTACAGAACCTGTTAGTTTTAAAAAAAAATCCTTGATCAAAAGGCAAAGCTCTAGTGATGGAAAATTGGCTGCATTCAAGTGAATTTTCTTTCTTCTTTTGTTTGCTCTGAATCTTGCACAGAACCCTGCAGAATAGAACTGTGGAACATCCTTAGCTTGTAGGTCCATCAAAACTCTACCCAGGTGAAAAGGAACCCAGCTGAGCATCTTCTGGTCCTTCCTAGCTGAGTTCAGCTGATCCTGTGCCCCCAGATATCATGTAGGGATGTAGTGGGTTCTCTATTAGTTTTTTTTCTTCTTCTTTATTTCCAGAATCCCTTTTGTTTCATTGTGACCAGATGCCTTTTTCTGGACAGGAGCATCTACCGAGGGGTCCAAATGTCATGGTGGCAGTTGTGTCTACATAATCAAACCCCCACTCCACACAATGTATGTAAAAATAGGGTGGGGCTTTGGCTCTGTGGTCACAACTGTTACCTTGACTTTTTTGATGTTCCTCCCTGCAGACACCCCTTTTCTTGAAGACCTTCTATGCTTGAAATGGTGCAACTTTGAGCCCTTCACCATACTTGTCTACAATTAATTACATGGCCTTGAATTGCCTTGGTGGCTGTTCCCATACCTCCCTGGGCTAATTTAAAACAGAGGCAGAGCTTGGTGTATCAGGCCAATGGTTAGGCTCTTTTAGCACCCACTTTGGACCAGTGGCCAGCCAACTGCATTATGGGAAACTTAGAGGCATGCAATGAAGTTAATGGTCTTTCTCTGGGCTTCTTCCCTAGCTACCGGTATTCTCCAAAGCAGAGATTCCCACCTGGGACAACTTCCAGATGTCTGGATTTCAGCTCCCAGAATTCCCCAGCCTTTGCTGAGAATTCTGGGAGTTGAAGGCCATACATCACGAAGCTGCTCAGGTTGGGAATCCCTGCTCTAAGCTCTACTGCTTCTCTGCATGGAAATCACATCCATCAATCGGCATGTTTAAACATGCTAGCAAAGCACAGATACCATCTGAAATATAAAAGCCATGCTGGCTCAGGATTATGAGTTGTTATTATCGTTGTTGTTGCTATTTACATACAGTCTACCAGATCATTCTGACTGGATTTGGTGCTTTCGAACATCAGATCCTTCCCAGGGTCTGTGATAATTAAAGATATCATTGTGCACTGTTCCAAGTCATGGAACTCTTCCTCTTCCTCCTCCAGTGCAAATGGAGAGCAGCTTGCTGGAAAAGGTTGCTATATATCTATACAAGAATGGCGTTCTCATCTAGCCTGGCAACCTCCTTTCCACCTCTGGCCACTCAGTGCATTCTGGGCTGCTCTCCCACCATTAGTTGGTCCTTCAAGATTTCTCCATCATCCTACTGCACATCTAAAGCTGCTATCAATTTCCTTCTCCCCCAGGAATGAAATGGGAATTAAATGAGAGTGCTTAAGCATCCTTACATCTCCAGCACGTACGTGTGCACATAATGTAAATGCATCACCAGGGGTTTATACTGTAACTTGGCTAAGCCAAATGTCTTGACTGGGGAAACAAAGGTTTTCTCTTGAAACTGCTCTTATTAATTTAGCGAGATTTGCTTTGGGGGCTCACAGATGAGTGTCTTCCAAGTTCCTGATGCTGTTGCTAAGAGGGATTTTCCTTAGCCTGGCAAGCAGGGAGGAATGTGCCTGCTCTCTCCAAAATACATAAACTTGAGGCTGGGAGAGATGCCTTTTCTACTTTGGAGGGTGGAGAAGCATTAAAAGCTTCCCTCCATTATAAAACGAGGGCCCCACAAGGCCCACCGTCTGTTTTTGGCCTTTAAAAGATCTCGCCTCAATTCTCCTTCCTGGAACCTGGGAAATGGGGTGCAAATTCGCCCCTGGCTCATGTTCCTCTAGCCCAGTGTTGCTCAACCTTAGCAACTTTAATGAGTGGACTTCAACTCCCAGAAATCCCCAGGCATCATGGCTGGCTGGGGAATGCTGGTAGTTGAAGTCCACTCATCTTAAAGTTGCCAAGGTTGAGCAACACTGCCTAACCACTGGAGAATGAAATAGACAAGGATTCAGGGGTGTCCAGGTAGTGGTAAAAACCAAAAACAAAACCACGATGGTGGCCATGATGGTGGACCTGAACCTCCACTTGCTTTTTCATGTGTATCACATTTTAATTTTTTTATTTTCACCAGGCCCCGTGGACACACCTGGAAAGACCGATTTTATCCTAGGAGCTATTCAAGCAAATCGCGTTCCATTCTTGGAATGCTTTGACGTTCTGGAAATCTAGTCTTACGAAACACCCACCCAGCCGCACCACATCTCTGCAGGCCCGCTCTCCGGGTTCGGGGCGGACGTGGAGCGTAAGAGAAGCTGGGTAGACAGGAAAAGGCCAGAATGCCTGCAGTCGGGAGCTGGGTCCTGACTGACCGGGAAGAGAGGCTTTCTTCGCCGTGCAACCCTTAACAGGAAGGGATGTGCAGAGGCTGCCTGAGCGACCAGCAAAAAAACCAGCAAGCGAATGCCAGGGAAAGTTGCGATCAGCAAAACCCTGGACTCAAAGCTGCAGCAACTGCCAGGAAGGTTTCGTGCCAAAGCATAATCTTTCCTGTGTGTCAGTAACCTCTATGGGATCCACATGATGGAGGCTGTCCAAATCTTTCTCTTTCTGTTTTTACACCCCAGTTAAAACAGCCGCGTTCTGCCTCTTTATTCTCTCCCTCCTGCTCAGACGTTTTTGTAAGGATTTGGGGGGGGGGGGGTTGCCTGAAACTGGGACGAATGCCATCTTTTTGCATTTGTTGCTGTCTCTCTTCCCTCCTTCTTCACTTTGTTACTACCCAGACCAGCTTTCTCACAACAGGAAATACCAAACTTGAAGTTGCTCTCGGCCAGGGCTTTAAAACCCTCCCCGGCTATTTCAGAATTAAAGCAGGATGGCCAGAACAGAGAATGCCAAACCATCCGGGCACTGAAGGAAAGGGGTCATCTATCCCGTGATAAGTCAGACTGCCCTGAGACCTGTTTGCACGTCCCATTTTCTACTTGACAAGGGAAATATTTGGCAGAACAAAACCAGCAGAATTTCATCACCCCAGTGGAGATTTACAAAAGGATTTTGGTTCAGAGGTTTTGCCACCTCCTCTGGACAGGCTTCTGTCCATAACCTGCATAGACGCCAGTTTATCCAGCTGGAAAGTAGGCACAGCCTTAGAACATCAAGGTTTACTATTTTATTTATTTGCTTATTTTGCTTTATATGCTGCTCCATTTCCAACTGACCTTCTTAGGACCCTGTTACCTAATGGTTTGACTTCGCATTGTTCTAAAAGCCAAAAATAGATTCTGTTGCTTAGGGTAAAAGATGTACTGGAACACTCTTTCCAACTTCCTCGTGTCCAGATGTGCTGACCAACAAGAATGGTGAGGGGCAATGGGAGTTGAGGCCAAAACATCTGGAAGACCCCACAGTGAGAAAGGAGGTTCTCAGAAATTTGTGGCCAAGTGTTCAAAACAACCCAAAGGTTTATTGGTGGGTGCTGGCAGAGAAAACATCTGTTCTAAGGGCCTTTCCTGGCTTGCTCCTAACCATGGTTTAAGCATGCCTTTGCAACGTTTCTTCTGCTATGTCCCTGAGGTGGTGCCTCCATTTCATCCTCAGTCCAGGAGTAAGGCTGGATTAAGGGCTACCACTGGTGGTAGTTACTATCACCCTTCCAAAAAAGATACTAGAAGAAAGTGAGTATAGCTAACTTTTAATATATGTAAAACAAGATTGCTTTAGCCACAAGCAAAACTCAAGGTAGAAAATATTTTTTTTTCATCAATCCATTATAATAATTTCTGGAGACAAAACCCCACACCACCTTATTTGTCTCATATTACACTGCTTAGAGTCATCTATCTCTCACCCTAACTGAGCATCATAAATTGGCAATAACCAGTATTGTTTGGTTTCCAGGGGCGATTCACAACATACACCCCAAAAAATCGAAGCTAGAACTGAAAGTGATTGAAGAACTTTGGATAGCTCTATTCTTCATACCCAGGTATGAAAGATCTCTCAAATCCTTGAATTTTATCAATTCACTGTTCACTCTGGATTGCTTTCCTGTCCTTTCCCAACTTTTCTGTACTGCCATGAAGACAGACCAATTGTTATCCCTCTAATATCTTGGGACATAAAACCCTTTGATCGATGGACACTATAATCAAATGATTATCACTGTCAGGGAATGTGGATGACATGCAGTTCCAAGGAAAGAGAAAAAGCTTTTATTGGTCCAAATTCCATACAGCTCAAAAAAAAAAAAAAAAGGCCCTGGAAATGCTTAGAAATAGGACAGACTCTCGAGAATCAGCTTTGGCAGCCACCGCCGGAAATACTTGTATTTTTATTGACCGTTTCCAGGAAAAGCTGTTCCAGTAAAGCAGAATTATTAACATATCTATTGTGTCTGTCTGGGTTTGGGATTTTAAATAGGTGAGGCAAAAAGAAGAAAGTTCTGATTTTGCTCCATTTCTGCCAGCACACATTAAAACAAACTTAGCACTTTAACACCTTTTCCTTTTTCTCTGCTTAAATTGAAAGAAAGGAAGATATTCGTTTTAGCACGTGGTCTTTCCTGAGATGAATCATGAGCACTTCTCTTGAGTGGCTAATTGGATGCCAGTACTGGAAAGGAAGTCATAAGTTACTGAAAAGACTATACAAGAGTTGGGGAGGGTCTG